AAGAAGAAGAAGAAGAGAGAGAGGAAGGAAGGAAGGAAGAAAGACAAAGAAAGAAAGACAAAGAAAGAAAGACAAAGAAAGAAAGAAAGACAAAGAAGGAATAGAAAAGGAGAATCTTTCCATAAAAAAGCTACTGAGAAAGATTTCAGTGAGGACACCACAGACTAAACAGCTTTCTGGGAAGTTACAGCTAAAGTCAGCTTGGATGTTCACTGAGCAAAGACAATAACTGAATCTATTCTGCAGCATCCTATCAACGCTTAAGAAATGATGTGAATAAGTTCTTCCTGTCCAGTTTGGAACTCAAAGAAAAAGATTAAAGGACTGCAGAAGTATCAACCTTTTGTAGAAGTTCAGAAAAAATTGACACTGTAGATGGTGCTTCTATACACCTAGACTAACCAGCATTTGATAGACTGACCTGATGTCCATTCAAAGAGGAATTATGTTTATTAAATGGAGTAGTAGCCACAGTTTCTAACTCTTTGCCCTCATATTTTCTTCCTAACAAAATAATCACCACTTTTTATAAAAGATAGCTGTCTATTCCATCACTTTTTCTTTACCCATTTTTAATATCTATGAAAGAAAAACAAATTTTACATTTGAGTAATTTCCATACCCCTTTAAATGATACAGTATATCAAAATAGAGAATTTTAAGCAAATTCAAACTATGTATTTTATAGTTGAGGGTAAAAAAGAATTGTGACTTATTCAATGACACAGAGTAGAGCTTTAACTTGTTATATCCAGTCCTATCTACACTACTTCATGCTGACCATCTTAATGTTTTCTCTGGTGGTTTCCATGGGAGCTACTTAATTAACTTCTTTTCTAGTTTCATTTAAAATCCTTGTAATTCATAATTGTCTTAAAATAATACCTCTGAGAGAATGCTTTTCACCTAACAAATATACTAACAAGTATTTTTCAAATTGGGTGACAAAATATGAATTTTTGAATCAGCACACTCCTATGTGGTTTTGCTCTTCAAGGTGTTTTGACAGATAATTGAAATTGCATCAGTATTTTCTGACTTAATATTAATGATTTGGCAAATCGCAATTTTAATAGCAGGACCCAAACCTTAGGGTGAATGATTGTAAGGTGATACAATAAATATCTGAAGAAGATTTGGGATCAAACAGTGAAGTGTTGATCAGGTAATGGAAGCATACAACTTCCTGTACCAGAAAGCTCCAGAGACTTCCAGGAGGAAAACATTTCTCTTCTCATTGACAGATTAGCTAATGAGAGATGGTGAGGAAACAAGCTGGCCTTTGTCTTAACTGTGTCTCGATACAGTAAAAATATGGATGGTGGCATGACACATTCATTCTTTTGGGGACATTTTCACAGTTGATGGAGATTCCAGGGCAGTTGACAGTCACAGCAAACATGGAACCAGATAGACTTGCCAACTTGCTAAGAAGATTTGGTTAAAGTCCAGTCTTAATCTTATTACAAATATTACCTACAATATGTTAATGAGATAAATAATTCTGATCATTTATTTTGGCAAATGACAGCTGCCAGATTCTTGATATTTAAATTACTCATTCATTTACTGCTCATCTATCTGAATAACTGGCATAGCTCTATTTGTTACTGTGTTGACAAACCCTTATTCCATATGATCATTTATTACTAGTCTTGGAGATATAATATATGGTACTTTCACTTCATTGGATATGCTTGATGCAAAAAAATGAGTTAGTGGAGTATCAGCTCACTACACCGTATCAACTCTAATGATAAGGCAGTTCTTTGTCTTAGGTAACAATCTTGTTGACAATCATCATGTAAGCTCAGGTAATGTTTAGCTATTGAAAATCTCTGGGGAATATGAACATATCTAATGCAGCTTTGCTTCTGTAATGACTACAGTATAGCCCCTGTACATCAAAGCACATCAATTCCAAGAAAAGTCACCAAGGGAAAGAAAAACCTCTCAGCGTGAGGGTGTTTTAATTAATGTTGTAAGCCATAAGAAAAGTGGCCAATTGAAAAACTAAATGACTAGGAGGTACCTAGGCTAACTTTTTAATTTTTATTTAATAATTTGATGAACATTAGGTCTCTCTAAAATTTGAAACATCAAAACATAAAATGCCCATGCATAATTTAAATACTAATTTATTTGATTTTTGAAGGCAATTCTAAGGCAGAACTTATAATGGAAGTGCAGTTTCAGCAACATAACAGTCTCTGAAGAGATAAATCTTTTATGTTCTTTCCAGCAGGGTAATTTATTAATGGACAAGCTCATAATGTTTATTACACCAAAAATTATGTCTAAAGAGTCCAAAAGAACAATGTTGGTGTTTAGGCTGGAATAAACTGTGATTTTCAAGCAATACATTGAATTTTTGTTAATCTAAAGTGTCTCATTTGCAAAAGCGCAACCAGGCAGTTGAGTAAACATAAGCAGTCCAAAGGGGCACACGTAGGTGTTTCAGACTCAAGTTGCACCAGAAGTGGCGAGGGAATTAAAATATTTTGAAAGCAAGAAGAATATTTTTAAGGCTCTATACATAGAGTCTTGCACAAAGAAGTGATAGACTGATACATATTTACCAAATTGGTTTGAACTGAAATGAATTAATTCAAGGAAGAAAGTGTTCTTGTTCTAGTCTTGAGTGTTTTTATAACCAAGTTGGTGAGAACAAATAAGAGTTCTTAAGATACATTCCCATTAATGGTCAAGAAGAACCACAGAGGTCTAATTTCCTACTGCTCATCAGAAGAGCAGAAAACGCTGTTTTTTTTTTTTTCATTACAAGCATTTAATGCTTAATGATTTAAAGTCAGATACTTAAGAGTGAAAGTCACATCTCCAGTGCACGTTCATACTTGTTTAGTGGTTTCTAAATCTGTGCTTGTAAACAAAATTATTCTTAGTCCTTTGACAACTGCTATTTGTCCTGTAGGAAAATTACTCCCTAAGGAGATGCAAATTGTTTGGTGGTACTTGATGGCTTTGTAGTAATTACCATGCTATCAGATAGTTCAGAATTAAGATAAGCCTTGGCATCAAAATTCCATATGGTTGATTCTAAAATAAGATGCTTAGATGGGCAGAATACTAAATGACATGCATTGAATAAGTAAAATCCTGAGCCAAGTTTATTTCAAACCTGGAGCTGTCGCACGTTGTATCTGAGATCAAACAAAGGTCATTTGAATGCCTCAACATTTAATAAACAGTTGAAAAAGCTGTAATTTCAGGGAAGTGCAGGTCAATAACATTAATCGATGCACATAACTATTACTACAATTAAAGTTATCTACAAACATAACAATCACAATTTATTATAGCAGGAGAAGAGGAGAGGATGGAGAGTAACATAAAACATT